TTAAGGCGACGAGGAGACAATAACTTTATTAATGCGATTAATAGTATAAGTGAAGCGGACATTACAAAATGATGAATGAGAATACATGTATCTAAAATGGTTGTTCCTAATCGATTTTCTTGAGACTATCATCAGGGAAAATCGTCTCACAATAGAGGCTATACGGAGAAACAAACTACTTATAGGTTATCGGATAGTGGGAAGTATACGAGGTGAGGTGTGAAAAAAAACTAAAGTGGGAGAGAAGACGAAAGAAATTAGAAGAAAAGATGTGAGAGTGTTCTGACGGTGTGAGCTACTACAAAAGGTGAGTGAAATGAAGGCGTGGAAGCAGGTGAATGTGATAGAGTGAGGAACTGTGAGGTGTAGGTGTATGCGAATGAATACGTGTGTGAATGCTAGGTGAAGAGTCTCAGTTTTGTGACATTTTCTTTCTGAATGCATAGATTAGGATTGTGTTTACGGATGAAAACAGCTTCTAATACCTTAAGTTCACGAAACCTACGAGCACGACACAAAACAGTGAGGCATGAATCATCATACACTGAGCGGCATTGGCTACTAGACAAGAGGTGTTTCTTAATGGCTGACCCTTTCGTTGTGCTCTCACCTTCAGTCCGGTCATCTTCATCTTGCACTATCCGATAACCTATAAGTAGTTTGTTTCTCCGTATAGCCTCTATTGTGAGACGATTTTCCCTGATGATAGTCTCAAGAAAATCGATAAGAAACAACCATTTTAGATACATGTATTCTCATTCATCATTTTGTAATGTCCGCTTCACTTATACTATTAATCGCATTAATATTTAATTTGTCGGTCTTTTAGCCTTCCAGTTGAGGCACATCGTGCTCCATTCTCTTCTTTTGGGCGCCATTAGCTCAGAAATCAGAGCGCAATTCACAAACCGACAAAGCTCTGTATTTCCGAATGATTTCACAGACTCGGCCGGGCATGCGTCATGTAAACTGTAGAATCTTCGCTGACTGTGACCGTTTATAACATAATCTTTATGTTATATCGAGGGAATCAAGAATATCTCGCTCGCTAGTCACGGTTGCAAGAAACACTCAGAAAAGATGAAATATTGAGGAATTCTGGTACACAACCAAGTCAAGCAATGCAGATTTTCGTTTAGTACATAAACCCGTTAATTCAGACATAACAATTTTCAAGTGCTAGAAATTGTGTATTAACGAGGGACGACCTGGAATACGAAATAGAGACCGCTAGAATACAATGCACGTGCTGTACTCAAGCACGAAAATCCGGGATGGGAATTCAGTTGCCACTGGTATACCTGCATCAAAGGAATCGTGCCAGTGCATGAATTTTACAGATCGTGACGACCAACAGTACAAGAAGACATGAAGACTTAGAACTCATAATGCAAGTCGAAACTACAGTCCATTTATCGGAAACAGTTCCGCTGGCTTCTTCAAGTCCGATTTTGGCCGAATTAAGGATCAAGACCCTACGTTAAATATCAGAAATCTGGGTTTGGGATCTGTTTCTCCATACATTTTCCCATGGCATACCTGCCCTATTTTTGCAAAGTCTGGCTGAATTTCTATTCCCCTGTTCTTGGACTTTTCTGGCCTCAAATGTGGCAAGGAGTAATTGCACGGGTCACACAATGCAGGATGTACTGTTGCTTTCACGGTATCTACAACTATGTGTGGAGATAAGAAAATGTTAGTTGGGGAGCCAGTCTCCAATGAATGGACTGTAACTTGTAAGTGTTTATTTCAAAAAGCACATACACATACTCTACTTGTGTACTGATAAGGCGGTTCCAACAATATTCAAGCTGAAAGGTTCTTGCTCTAAGTTGCGTGTCCGACGAGAAAACGCATTACGCCCTCTTGTCTTGGTTGGTGCACAGAAGCGGAGCACTGATCTTATCAAATCTCCCGATTGTGCGGATCATACTAAAGGACGGTCATACCATACTGGGTCACGTCCTGTTGCTCAGCACTATTCGCTCGACGATAACAATCACATCTATTCACAGATTAACGCTCATCCCGGGTGGAAACTACACCATCTTCCTAAACCTCATTGCCTTCCATTGTTTAGTGAACGTGGCATCACCGTGTAGATTAATGAATTTAGTAACCAGATCTGATTTTTTTTAAATGAAATATGACTGGAGATGAAGAGAAACAGTTATTCAGACTGAAAGGCAATATCGTCAAGCCATACAAGAGAGAGAGAGAGAGAGATTAAAGTATGTGTATGTTCTTTTTGAAACAAACACTTACAAGTTACAGTCCATTCATTGGAGACTGGCACCCCAACTAACTTTTTCGTATCTCCACACATAGTTGTAGATATCGTGAAAGCAACAGTACATCCTGCATTGTGTTACCCGTGCAATTACTCCATGCCACATTTGAGGCCGGAAAAGTGCGCACAGCCGCACCAAATAAATTTACAACAAAAACAATAACAGAACGAATAGAAGAGCAACAGACCGACAACAACCAAACTGAAACAACACAACAACAAGCAACGAACTGAACAGAGAGAGAACAACACAGCGAGCAAGACAACAAGACGAACAACAAGGACGACACACAGTCGGTGATGCCAGACTCGTCCACTGTCCTCTGGCGAGCCACGGCCACACGCTCCGTCGTACTTCACTGTTTTCAAGTGGCCTGGGATTGGTCACATAGTACGCAAAGCCTGATTTTGCAGGTGAAGCTTCCATATTTTGCCGCAATCTTTTGCTTCCTCATCGTCGATATTTCGCTTTCATTTTACCAGGTCACTCGATATTTTGCTCCTTTTTTGTTGCTAGCAAAATGGAGCTATACCCATCACGTAGCCCGTGATGGGTCACGTGGTTTGGGATTGAACACGTGATCTGGGATTGGTCACGTGGCCTGAGATAATTCAAGTGACGGGTACAAACGAGCCTTCAATTGACAAGCATGCCATGTGAAATCCTTGCCCACCACTGTATGTCATTGGAAACAGTCGCCAACCATTACGCAAAATACAGTTCTACCAGGAAGTGATTTTTCAGAACACTGTGTCTCAGAACTTTTACAACATGTCCAGAGAGCCAGCATAGTGGCAGGAGTGTGTGGTGAATATTTCACTCAAATCCATTGAGAGACACCAAAGTTACGGTCAATTGAATGCCCTATGAAATTTACGACAAGGCTGCTACCTTAAGTAATGATCTTCCTCACCTATTGGTGAAGCCAAGACCTTAAGTTGGCAGCTTTGAAGATTTGGGATAGTGTTAGGCCTCGACTAAATATGCTTGCGCTTATTTCCGCATATTTTGTGAGACAGTTCATATATGGCATATTGAGCGACACAGGGAATATTGGAATGAAGCTAGCATTATAATTCGAATATTCTGAAGAAAATGAGGACAAAACATTCATATTATGGACAAAATACGTTCAGTAATGCCTTTTATGGATGAATTTGGGATGGTTGATGCGTTTGCTACATTTCCACATGGTTGAACACTATCGCTACGGTTGCTGGGGGCTCACCCCAGCCATACCATTCCGCATGTGTTTTGATTTGCACCATAAGCATGATAGCCGCGAAGCCAATGAATATTTCAAGGTTGTAATTTTACTGAAATGATCTACACTTTCTGCTTATGTCGAGCATATTTTGGCATATTTTGGCGTATCTTTTTGCATATCTTGCGAAGCTTTGGCATATTATGGACGATTTCCCTGATATGCGACGACCATAATATGCTCTTTTTTAGCATATTTGTTTGAGGCCTAGATAGTTAACAATTTGCTCTACAACCATCGGAATACCCACCATTATCATGTTGTGTGATGATTGCACGGTTGTGCATGAAACTGAAGAAGATAGCAGTAAATCCCACAAAGTCCCCCGTCGCACAAAGTCAAAGTAAACAAGTGAACCCAAACTCAAAGCAAAGAACCGAGGAGAAACACGCCTGGTGATGTCTGCCGTATACATTCACAATCACGTACTTCACTGTTTTCACGTGGCCTGGGATTGGTCACGTAGTAGGCAAAGCCCGATTTTGCAGGTGAAGCTTCCATATTTTGCCGCAATCTTTTGCTTCCTCATCGTCGATACTTTGCTTTCATTTCGCCAGGTCACTCGATATTTTGCTCCCTTTTTGCAGCTAGCAAAGTCGAGCTATACGCATCACGTAGCCCGTGATGGTTCACGTGGTTTGGAATTGATCACGTGGTCTGGGATTGGTCACGTGGCCTGAGATCATTCAAGTGACGGGTACAAACGAGCCTTCAATTGACAAGCATGCCATGTGAAATCCTTGCCCACCACTTTATGTCAGGAACAGTCGCCAACCATTACGCAAAATACAGTTCTACCAGGAAGTGATTTTTCAGAACACTGTGTTTCAGTCGCTAGCTAGTAAAAATAGAAAAAAAGAATGCCGCAGAGAGAGAGAGAGAGAGAGACAGAGAGAAAGAGAGTGAGACGGAGAGAGAGAGAGAGAGAGAAAGAGGGGGGGGGGAGGGGGAGACAATCGAAGCATGTTGGCTGGAGCAAAGGAAAACATGGATGAAGAAAGAAAGACGGAACATGCATTCATTCAGTTTGCTGCCTGCGCTAATTCAGGAGTAGGACAAGAGGCGTCTAAAAGTAAATAAGGCTAAGGAGAAAGAAGAAATCTAGAACCAAAAAGAAGATTGCAGAATCCTCCCTCGCAGCCGTCCTTGGCTACCTATGTGGCAACAAAATTAATGTGTAACGTATACATAATGAAGGTAATCAAACAGCAAGAGAGGGGATTCTACATTGTTCTAAATAACACCAGCTGGTCACAAAAGAGTGCTAGTTGAGGTTTGATGTTTGAGTGATTTCTAAATATGCAGCTGAAATGGGCGATGTGGAAGAAAATGAAGAAGGACTTGGATGATTTGCCCACAGAATCTTGAATTTAAAGGCAACTTCAAAATGCTGCAGCCTCGCGGAGAAGGATTGCGACCCAGGAGAACTGTGCGTGTGTATGTAATTACTTTGAACAGACTGAGCAGGTCAACTCCTTCTCGCCGACGTATGTATCCGGAACGTCAGTTTTGGTGTTGGTTTCAACGAAATACAGCAGAGCGCCGTTGACATTCTTGCTGGTGTTCTCCATAACCTCTGGCTGTTTGTCCATACAGATGTACTCCGTACGCCTGTGATCGTACTTTGCCGTCATCAAGTACCCATCATACTCTTTGGTCCAACCAGCGGGACAGGTCAAACGAGCAGGGAACATGAACTGCGCCGAACGACCGGACGCTTGACACAAGGCACACACTGGTGTATTCTGATACTGGCTATGGAAGGCAGGAATCGCCTTAGATGGCGTCTGTAGTTCGGCGCTTTGGAGGATAGAGTTTGATTGAGTTTTAGGGATGTACTCACTGTATTCTGGCTCCATCGGCATGCACAAATACTGCGCAGCGCCTCCTTGAACTGTGTACCACGTACCTCCCACGAATCCACTGTAGACTAGATGTGAGGCCTCAGAGCAAGTGCTACTTCCCCAGTGCGTATAGAGAGCGCCGTTCTGGGAGAAGGCAAAAGATCGTCGATTCTGACCAGCATCACGATCTTCGTCCGAATCTTCAACTGGCTCGTCGCTCATAGCGTCAAGAAGTTCCTCTCCGTACTGTTCATGATGCACGTATGCTCCCAATGTGACTATCGGAAGAGCAATGGATAGACCAACCATCAAAATCAGAGAACGCACGTCCATGCTGCTTGATCACCTAGATCAAGTATGGTACCTCGTGATGCCTTTCGGAACAAGTATTCAGGAGATCTTAGAACGCACTGTTATGATATTCTAGAAAAAGAAAGCCAGTCTTTTATAGGCCACTGATCGCTGTTCGAAAGTCTGAGAGTACGAGCACGCCAGACTACGATGCTCGCATGTAGTGATTGGATAGTTCCATGGTGCATCTGTACAGATGTGGTACGACTTAGTCCACAACCGCTCCTTAAGTGAACACAACTGAGTGCACGTTACGAGGGTTGTATCCAGACTTGGATTGGCTTGTTCCATTAACCTGGCGGTCAATGCATCCAAGCCACAAAAACCGTGTTCCTCAACCATTGCTGATCGTGCCGCTCAAAAGACATGTCGACTTTCTCAATTTGTTCATTCAATTCGGCGTCAGCTAAGGATAAATTTGACATCTAGGTGTCACCCATTGCAGGTTGTTTCACTAGAGTTGGTTTCAAAAAGCAAACTTCACTTCTGAACACACGGTGATTCAAGCAAGATCCGCATCCCCATGGTGATCATAAG